CTTTCTTATCATCTGCGTCTGCCAATCGGTCATCTCTAGGGGCTGTCATTAGCCGTCAAAAAACGAGAAAGGACTGAGAAATAAACAAATGAAATAAAGAAAGCGAAGATTTCCTATGGATAAAGGTATTCAATTAAAACTGAAACTGTAGTGTTCCTAAGCTGAAGAGAAGAAGGGTTCGGATTCTAGACTGAAGATGTGAGCATATAGTGTAAAGCTGTAGCTGGTTATGGACAGCAATGATAATCCCGACAGTCTACGTTTTGGATATCTGCGCAAATGATGGCTGAGTTGCGGACCTTCTTTCGAGCTATGCACTACAGTGTTTGTGTATGATCAAATAGTACGGAAGGTTTGAACATTATTTCATGCTCTAAAAATTCAGCAGATAAAAGTGTTTGTTTATATAATTTTAAGTACGCAGCTACATATAAATTTCTGCCTACTTCTAGATAGACCTACACAAAACATAGTTGTTTACACACGACATATATACAGAGTAACAACACACCACGTCTAAATTAGGTCAGGAAACATTCGGTTACAAATCTGCTCTAGCCTACACATGAAGACTTCGACCTTTGAGGCTGCGTGAGTATACGGAGGGAACATGTTCTACGCGTTCATCAATCTGTGAGGGGAGAGTGAAGCGTGGACCCCCTTGTTTGTTCTCAGATATGCGGATAATCATGTGGTACCATCTTAGTAGGTTCACTTTCATCGGCCGCAAAAAAATACTAGTCGGTACCTCAGTGGGGTCCACTAGGATCTTGAATGCTTCTATCAAGACTCCATGAAGCTGTAGTGGATCTAAACACTATACAAAATTCTGGCATGAACTCGAGATCAAAAATATGATAAAAATGGAAATGATCAACTCACAATAGTTCACCAAAGTGCTTTGATTTAGAATTCCACTACACCAAATGTAGTATCCAATAGATACAATCCGTCGTGTCGTTCCTGAGTAATCTTGGAGGTCAACAACTGATGTAATTCCATTGACAGATAAATAATTGACAGAATAAATAGAACTTTGCCGCAATAGTCGCTTGATTCCGTTAGCTTCTAACTCTCCAAAATTCCGTGCACCAGCGACCCGAACGCAGATAGAACGCAAGGCTCGTGAACCGAAAAGTGAGTTGTATTTACTGATTATCGATTAGTTCGATTAAGTTGGTTTAAACGTTGGTTGTATAGGTGAAGTTGAGGAAAGTGAAAAGTGTGAATAACAATCAGAATTTTGAAATAGAGAATAGTGTGAAAAACGTTACAAACTATTCTTTGTTCAGGGGAATATGGGTTGAGGTTTCAACCTGCCAGTATAATCTAAGTGTTTCATGCTCCGTATCAACCTATTAACGAGCCTTTGAACATTTTCAATGCATTATTTACCTTTCTGTTGGTTTGGACTCCATGCTTGGACACAATACTCTGAATGAGGCTTAACAAACGTTCTGTACAACGGAGTAAGTACTCTCGGCTCTCTTGATAAGATGGTCCTGATGAGCTGGAAAGGCGAGTCTGTTGCTTTCTTTGCCGTTAAATTGCACCGCGGCGTGTTTTTAAAGTCATTTTGGGTTAGAACCTCGAGGTCTATAGTTTCAGTGACCTGCGTTAGCATGCTCGGATTACATGAATTGGGACGCCATCTTTGGGTGGATCTGCTATCCTCTTCAATCATATGCAGACATTTCTTTGGGTTGAGGTTTAAACTCACTTTGCTGATCAGTCGGATAGCTTTACTAAGTCGGAATGGACAGACTGGGGTCCCGATATTTTCCAAATCGTCAGCAAACATATACTGCAGAGATGGTAGGGATATAATCAGTTCATTTCCGTAAACTAGAAAGAGTATATGGCCCAGTACTAACCCTTGTGGCACTCCACTGAATACAGGGTACAAGTTTAAACTGGGTCCACCAAAGATGACTTTGATCACCCTGTAACAGAGCAAATCTGCTATTCATCTAATGGTAGCCGGTGCTGTCCTGCAATACCCTAGTTTCAATAATACTTATATGTCAGTAACAGAGTCAACAGTCCTACTGAAGTCCAGATAACATACTTCAGCAAGTTCGCCTCTATTCAAACGATGTTATTTCGTCCAAAAAATAACAGGCTGGAAAGATAAGATCTCTTCTTTACGAATCCATGTTGGTTCGCATTGGACAGCTAGTTCTCGGTTAAATGCTTGATAATCTTGTTTTTAATAGCAGTTTCGCATACTTTCAGTAGAATGCAAGTGAGACCCACTGGTCGATAGTTACCAGTTGCCCCTTTGTTTCCGCCACTGTGCAGAGCTATGACATTTACTTCGAGTCAATCCTGGACCACTCCGCCTTCTTTGATAAATTGGTTAAGAAAGTTGGTTACTGGAACGGATAATACACTTGCTAGCGGACGGATGATGGCCGTGTGAATAACTTCTGTCCACCAGGCTTTATTAGTGTTCAACTTCCGCGTTAGGTTCTCTATTACATGAAGTCGGATGTCCTCGTGGGTCATTTCTTCCATCAGCACAGAAAGTACGTCTAAGGTAGGGCTTTACTGGCTGATCGTTCGGTAGACACTTGCGAAATGCAATGTCAGATATTCAGCCTTCTCATGAGCACCGGTAATTAAGTTGTAGTCAGAGAGCCTGAGGCTACATATTTCTCTGTGCATCGCTAGGTTAACCTGGACATGTGAATAGTACCGCTTTTGGTTGACTTCGGCACCTACAGCAGGTTCTAATTCGTAGGCGGCTCGGGTATTATTCTGAAGTTTCGTCGTGTGGTCCCTTTCACGAAGTGAAAATTCCTTATGGCCGGTTGTTTTTTGAAAGTTAGCCATGCTCTCTTTTCTCCTATGCGCCATATCTATTTTGGCTGTACACCAAGGGGGTTCTTCCTTTGGGCATCCTCTGATCATCACAGCGTGTGTGAAGGTGTAGATTTGGTTTAACCAGCTCCCAAGCCTTGACTACCGTGCCTGGGTGATAATTCTAATCCAGAGACTTTGCACCTAGGATCAAGCTGTCGATTTTAACTCCTCCAAAGTTGCGTGTTAACTTGAAAGATATCGTCTGCCATCTGATGCAGCACTCAGAATTGATAACCACGTAGTCACTTGTCCCAAGAGGAGCACCCATACAAAGTGAAGCAACTTGATTTTCGAATCTGGTTAACACTAGATCCGGCAGTGACGGGATCTGCCCTATTCTTGAGAGCGAGTTACATCTCACGTGCTGAATCAGCACGTTTCCCCGGAGAAATTCCAACAGGTCTGCTCCAAAACTTCCTGAAAAGGCTGATGCCTCCCCTCAATCGAGGTCAGCAGTGTCGAAGTCTCCAATAATTAGCAGGGAGTGTGGTTTAGAAGTGATGGCCTTCAAAAGATACATAAGCCTCGCATCCTCGATGGCTTGCGGCATTGGACTACGGTAGAGGCATATGACTGAGACTGTCTGTGTTTGACTTCACCACACTTTCCGCTAGTTGAATTTCCGGTGTACTGGGAGAGGAGCACTGCAGCTGCACATATCTTTCGGCAATTAAAATTAGGGCCCCTCCTCCCTGCCTCCGTCAGGTCTATTTTGTCTGTAATTCCTTCATCCTTCCGGATACAACCTATTGTACTGTTCATTCATTCTAGGTCAAGAGTCTGTGATGGCGGTCACGTCGTATCCACCGGCTACGGTGGGTGATTCGCCCCCACTTGTTGTTGATGTGACAGGCGTTTGTGTAATAGGCTTTTACACGCTGGGGCTTCAACCGGTCGGGATTTTTATGTTGGGATTGGGAACCCTCGGGAACTATACCCAAGAGCAGATTCCATTTTCTTGCCAGCGAAGGATTGCACGTTTGTGATGCCGTATTAGGGACCCCAAGATATGCGGGGCGAAGTCTGTATACTCGCACGGGACTCGTTCTTAACGGGCGAACGAGCCCACCGGGGATAACGATGGGTATTCAGTGCCTTCGAATTGTGCGGCGAACGGACGCCTTTCGGGGAAGCTGGATTGGGCGCATCTGGGAAGGTTTAAAATTTGTTATTTGACTTGGCCCTTAAGTCCGGTGACTTTACCAGCAGTTGATCCCGATGGAAAGGGTGTACGAGTTCCAAAACAACCAGACCCGTTTCCCCTGAAACACTGGTCAGCTGATTTCGTTTTCTCACCCGTAGCATCCTACCTATTCCGGCCAGAGTATCTACATTTGTCGCAATTTAATTGGATACAGTCCAGGTTGCTCGCACTCAGAACTCGGTACAACTCCAGAGGGACACCGAGGCAAGAAGTGTCGAACCAAGCGTCACAACCAAAGCACTGAAGGGCGTGATCTCTTACGCGAACAAACCTGAAACACAAACTACACGCAGACCGTTTCAACATGCATGCAAGATATACACCGAGGCAGATAAGAAAAGTAACTGAGGCAAGGTACACTCAAACACTAGGATAGAGATGGTGCCCCTCTACAGTATAAACACTACTTTATGAGAAAAGACAGAAATAACGAACGCAATTAATAATGTCAATGTCAGAAGTTTAAAACAACGCCTCACTACCTACCAAACTTGAGGAACGTAACGAACTAAATGCTTAACAGAATGGAATACTTCAACGGAAGTTAACTGTAATACAGTAGTTGAAATGAAAAGAAAAACCCAGCACAATATTTGAACAATCAATATGCCACGAGACTCAAGCTTTTCGCCAGTTCGTGCCGATGGAACTTCCAGCACAGGTGGCTGCGACTCTTTTTACGTCCACAATTTCTTGATTGCTACTCAGACTACAGTTTTTTCATCATCCGTAATACCAGAGTCGTTCTGATGCCTCACGCGACTGACCAACACAGACAACGGGCAGGTTGGTATACTCCACCATCCTTCGTCTTCCGGCCCTCTCCAGGATGAACCACTCACCAGTGGATTAGAAAAAATAACTTGACTAGGATGCTCTCATAAACTTGTGGTGGAAGAATTCATTTTGCCTGGACTACATTTCTGCTGCCCTGACTATACGATTTTGTAAACACCCCTTCTCGTCCGATCACCAAAGCTAAGCAACTTAGGGTCCGATAAGCACTTACAGGAGGCAAAAGATAATGGCCTCATCTCAGATGCCATCCCGTTTGATTTTGCCAGTGCTGTAGACCGCGTATCACATGGCCCCCTGAGGCACAAAATTGAAGCCCATGGTATTCAAGGTGAGGTTCTCCGCTGGATTGCTTCTGTTCTCAATAAAAATACTTCTGGAGTTAAAACCGGGTCATATCCGTCGTCTTTCCAATCCATTTCTGCTGGAGTTCCCCAGGGGATAGTTCTAGGTCCTCTGTTATCTCTGATTTTCTTTCCGGATAATAGTTCCAACAACGCCTTCCTATATGCCGATGGTCTAAAAGTCTGGAATACCACTGAACCCAATGCACTACAAATTTATCTTAACGCATTTAAGCGCCGATCGGACGACTAAGGTCTCTTACTTTATGAAAGTAAGTGCGCGCACATGTCACTCGGTGGAGATCTTGGCAATTCCTTTGTGATTCAAGGTGCACCTGGCAAAGTATACATCATAAAAATCGATCTGAAGAAAGATCCAGCTATCTGGTTGTCGCCTAACTTACCCGTCGCGTATCACGACAAGGTGGAGGCAGAAAAGGAAGTTGCCGCTTTTAGGATGACTGAGCGCACTTTTCCTATATATACAAGAAGGCGTTCCAAGTGCTTCCCGAGGTTTTTATAAGACTGCTCCTCGAGTAGGCTAAGTAGGCTGTGTATACCGGCCTGGAAAAAGAAATATTAGCTGTTGAACGCGTCAAGAACGCGACTACTAAACTAATAACGAACCTTAGAAATGTTGCGTGTGAGTCTTGATCAGAAATTCGTGATTTGTATCCACTCTAATTTGGGCGACTCCGTGGGGATTTAAATATTGCACACTTCTTTATCGTAGGTCTCGTTGATCAATTCTTTATCTTAACGACCGGCGAGGACATAACTGGGAGCTTTTCGGGCTTCGTCCTTGGACCTTCCTTGGGCAGCAGTTCTTTTACTACAGGGTTATAAATCTTTGTAGTAGCCTTCCTTCTTCGACCGTTGAAAGCGCTTCTATAGATCGCTTTAAAACACTGCTTGATTCTCACTTGCTCAAACCATATTTTTCGCGGATAATCTTGCCCTGGTCTTAGTGTCTACTATAATCCCTAAAAACTGTGTTACACCCTGTTTTCAATGACTGCTTTTCAGATCAACAAGCTTTCACCTGACGCCATACAAAGAAAACCGACTGGATCCGGGAATCTGGGACCTCTGCTTCGAACCCGTGTATCAACCGCTGAATCGCTGATTCAGGGTAGGATGCCCAAGGCATCCGAATACAATCGGCCTAACTTAATCTGTCTCAAACATACGTTTGCTGACAAGAAAATCAGTCACTGAAAACGGATTGTAACATCCCTCTTGCGGATAACGGCAATTACCTAGAACATACTAAAACTACGAGCCTACATACGGTTTAACCCGTGGGGCCCTATTTACGCTTCCAACCAATCTCTAAAAGCAAGACCAATGACATTGGGAGGGAGGTTGTTCCAGCGGGTGTTAACCACACAAGAAATGAACCGTTGTCTGGAGCCCGTCTTGGAACGAATCTTGTCAAGTTTCCTCGTTGGATGTCACTTTTCACTTGAATGCTGCGTCCTTCTACCGGACCTGCTAAAAAGGAGTGTGCAAGGTTTAGAACACGAATTGGTCGACAAAGTTCAGGCGGATACAGATCAAGAATTTCAAATCAAGACTCATACCGGGCATTTCCTATGCCCGTGACCGGTTTGAAAGCCGCGCGTTAGACGCGCTCATCAGCTAATGTCTTCCTTCAGGTTGGTGTACAAGACTTGATTATCGTGCTAAAGAAGCGGTCTTATGTAAATCTCCCAGAGTGTTTGAAACGCTTTTCCATCAATGCGAGGGAAAGTGCGCTTAATCATCCTGAGAGCAGCAAATCTCTTTTCTGTAGCCACTTCTTGATGATATGCGAAAATATTTTAGACTATATTCAGGTGCCCTAATCATTTTTCTGGTCAATTTTTTTGATGCCTGCCGTGCTGAGCTTACTAGGAATCACAAACGAGTTATTTGAGCCCCCATCGAGCAACATGTGTGCAAACTTATTGTCATTTAGTGGGAAAGTGCCACCGTTTAAACAAGGTCCGATTGCTTCAGGGTCAATCAGTGGCGTAGTGGGGTCAACCGTGTTTAGGAACTCTTAACCACGATGGCCCGAGTGCCCGTCAAAACATGAAGACAGCTCAAAGGTAATCGTTGAAACAATTTAATTAACGTTTTGGACTCTTACTGCCGGGATTAGTGTTCAAATTTAAAGCACTGGCACTCGTCGGGATTTTATCTTGTCTTGTGCAGTCATGTGGCTGCTTTGATCACGACCCAAGTCCAACTGCGTCATGCTTGTCTGCTTCTCGATCACACCAAACCATACCCACTTACACCATTTCAACTGACTGAGAGTTCAGATGTCGACCGCGCGCATGCCTGCGTTCAGATGTGGGAAGGGTCTCTAGGCCGGTGAATTTGCGAGCACATATGTACGTTGGGACAATGGTCACCACTTCAACTAAACGGCTTGACAACTGATGGGCCGAATCAAAAGTGGAGCGGCGGCTACACCAGCATTTCGCATTTTTGGATTGTCAGCACAGAGAACAGCTTCGTTGAAAATGTTGCCAAAAAGGCCATTGAAGTAACTAAGGAATAATAGAGAACATAGCAATTATCCTTGCGAAACCGCCACGCCATTAAATGAGGGGACTAAAAATTCGATCTGGTTTTAAATCTAAAATTTCTTATATCATGCTGGAGAGCGTTCCAGCAAAGAATCTCGCCTTGAAAACAATGAGTTCCAGTTTGTTCCTGAAAGGGTCATATGAGACACTGTCAAAGGCCCTGACAAATGGAAATCCGGAGTTTCTGATTGATCATCTATTAAAGGGGTTCTGCCAGACTAGCAGCTGCATGTTTGAGAATCCTCGAGTGTATCTTCTCTGAGCCCACCACGCTATATGCGGAAAACTTGAATAAAGCATCTGCTGTCTAGTATAGAAAACCCAGCCGTTAGTAGGGGTTAGGAAGAGCTCTACGTATAAGAGCTGGATCAACACCGTGAGGTTGAATGATATTGTACAGAGGAACCAGAACTCCGTGTTCCCACAATATACACATTTTATTGAGCTGGCGCCTTCCGAGAAGCTGCTATTCATTCCGTTGAGAGGTTGAATTTTACTGTTAACCGGATCATTGACTGCTTGATTTTAACCACTCGGTGAACATCAACCAGATCTCCAAATTCTCCTATAATCCTAGAGGTTAATTGAATGTGAGCCTCCAGTAGCCATCTAAACTTTTAGCAATCGTTGCTAGTTTTCGTTCAAAAGTTCACTGATACAACTTATCCAAGTTCTGCTGTGTAGAAGACTCAGTAGGGCAAACTTTTAATTCCAAATTGTCCGCGAGAAACCAACGCGCGAAGCTAGATGCGCCAACTAAATAATTTTTGTCCACTAGAATAAAAAGCAGTCCTAGAACCAATCCGTTGAAAAATTCACTAATGACAAGCGCTATGAATGATTCATCTTTCTCCAATCGCATATAAAACAGCTCGTGACAAAAGTAGGCCCCGAACCCTCTTAAGTTATCTTGGGGCCATGTTAAAGGTTCCTGGTTTCACAAATAACAAGTAGCAATTGACACCACCCAACCCTTTTCTGAAGTCTGAGTGACAATTTCCAGCTAGTTCGCCTCAGTTCAGGCGTGGTTTTGTTTCATCTAGAAGGGCCAATGTGTTTCCCGTGCAAGGTCCACGTCTCACAGGGTTGTGCGGTCGCGCTGTTGAAATTCTGTGTTGGGCAACACGGTGGACCATTTTGTCTCGAATATTCCGTTCCATGACTGTTGCAACAGCTGGCGTGGGGCTTACGAAAAGATAACTTTAAACTTCCATTTTGCACCACCTGCTTATGAACGTGACCACAACCTACTCCTAGTCCTTCAATAACGCCATCCGATCCGGAATCACAGTAAACGATCTGTCAAGTGGGAATTCGAATGCTGTCGTTAGTGGTTGCAAGATACTAGGACTGGTGTCTACCGGCCCGATTACCACAGCTCTATTCAAAAACAGTAGTTGATATCCCACTTCTAGGTTTAGATAATTCCGGTACTGTCTGCAGATGAACTCCTACCTTGATCACCAGTGAACCGCCAATATCACTCGTGTGCACTTTTTCACAGAACTGGAAAAGAACTCTGCCTTGTCCCTGTTAGCCGTCGTAAGTTTCCTTTGCAAATCACTGAAACAGTTTACCGTCACCCTTAAGGGCCACCCTGGACGTAACGTAGTTGTGGAAAGTTTTGGGCATGATATGTAACATGTAAGCCGGCCGTCTTTACTCTGGTTGTCTGTTACGCCTGCGGACCAAAATTACGGTAATGTGGAGACACCGGGGAACAGCGTTCTTCTGGAGCAAGGGTTCCAAAAAAGTCCTGTAAAAGGAAACAAGAAATGAGCATGAGCCATGGGCACAGTAAACCATGCACACGACTTACACAAACGAAAACTAAAACGGCATCAGCAACACAGCAGCGCACACCTTTACACTATTCAAATTCAACCTGTGCGCGCTTGCCGGTTTAGACCGCACGTTACAGATATGGCGTACTTACTCAGATTCCTTTCGTATTTCAAACTACATTTCTATATGTACTGGTCGATTTTACTAACTGCTCTTTTGTAGTTCAAAACCTTTGATGCCCTACGATAAGCTGAAACCTTTTTCTGGCTCCACTCTTAATTTTCTAAATCTTGCTGACCCTCCTTTCCAAACAACATGATGTGCCATTAAATCTGTTCGTTCCAAATTGTGTAAATTCGCCTACCAAACTTCAGATCCGCTTCGATTACCCTATACCGACCAGGCCCAAATACTCGTGGCTCCTATTTAATTGGCTATGACAAGGTGCGTGCTTTTGTACCAGATCACACTTCAGGGCACAGCACACTAAGCCGTTTTCCCGGGTACGGATTTACCACACACGAAATGTAAAA